TGAATTATCAATTTTCAATAATTAATCAGTATTTTAATAGTAAATTGAATAATTATATTTAAATCATTTAATGTATAAAATAATAATCTTAAACTTTAATTTCATAATTTTATTTTTTATTATCTCAAATTATAAATTATACTACAATGTATTTGTGTTGAATTTTTAAGAATCCGTTTAGATTGACTTAAAAGTCCGTCAAATCTACTTGTAAGTCAATTTTTTATTACTGAAAATGATTGGCTAAGTCAAATGCTTAAAATAATTTATAAAGTGGTTGACAAAGTAAAAAATAACTTAAAATAAATTAAAAGTAACTTCAAATAAGTCAGAAATCAAAAGTAAATATTTCTTTACTTTTTATTACTTGACTTAAAAGTTATTATAATTTAACTTTTAATTTTTTTATCTTTAAAACTATTTTTTATGCCAATACAAAGGCCTCTAAGTAAGATTATTGAGCGTGAGAGCTAAATGAATCGAAAGATTAAGTTTGGTTCGGGAAAAGGATTATGGAATTTTGAAAATGAATGGAAAAATAATCTTCTTTTTTAAAGTGATTTATTAGATAATCGAAAATAGAAAATGTTGCATACTATTCGAAATTCATAAACAGTTTATCAACTTATTTGCACAATTGTCAACTTATTTGCACAATACAATTGATTTGTCAATGTGCTCCTAAATTATTTTGACTGATTTTTTTAATATCAAATTTTAACAATAAATTGATAACAATTACTAGCGGATAAATCAATTAATAAATTAGTATCTTAATAATTTTATAATCACTTAATATATATGTATAAACTAATAATAGATAAATCGAATTAAAAGATCTTCTTTATTACAAATTGATAAATTGTAAGATAAAAATTACCTATAAAATAATTAAAAATATTATTAATTCATGCAAAGCACGAAGTAGTACAACAAAAGGAATTAGTGGATGAGGACAATCTGTGTGCTGCCACCCATTATGCCAAATCACAAAGGCGCCAACACGTTATCATTAGATTACAATAATCTTTTATGATTAAACTCAACTAAAACATTAATTAACATCTTAATTATTTTTAATTAATTAATTCCATATTATTTTCAGGTAAATATTCCTTAATTAAAAAAAGGCAAAAAAAATTAACTATAGTCTTCCCACTTCCCACTACGTGGGGTCCACCACTACACTCACGTGGCAGACGTGCTTCATTTACTGGGCCCAAAACGGCGATTGCGTGTAATTCAATCGCCGACATCGCAAGTGAAGAATAAAAATTACTGAAATTTTTTAAATTTAAAACCCCATACATTATCTGTATTTATTTTTTGGAATTAATATAAATATCAACTGTCTCCGCTAGTTGTTTCCTCCTTTCCACCATTAGAACTGAACTTTGAAGCTCTGAAGTTTCATTCTCAAAGCTCTGTTTTTGTGATTTTCTGTTGGTTTTGATATGGGGGAAGATTCGAAGGAGTGTGAGTTTTGGCTGCCGCCGGAGTTTCTCACCGGCGATGATGTTTTTATGGGGTTTAAGGGGAACAGTAAAGGAGAGGGAAATGAAAGAAAGATGTACTTTGGTTGTGATTTTCAGAACGAGTTTTCATATGGGTTTAATATGTTTGGTCCTCATTCGGATCTGAGTTCGCCGGTGGAGTCGGTTGTTGGTTCGACTGAGACAGAGAGTGATGAAGAAGACTATATCACTGAGTTAACCCGACAGATGGCTCAGTCCACTCTGGAAAACCGCAAGGTATTTTTACTTTTTTTGTGTTTGTTGTTATTTGTTTTATTTTGTCTGCTAGTTCTCCATTGATTAATTTAGAGATTGGGGGTTTATCTTCTTTTTGTTTTTCTGTAGGTGTATAAATTGTCGAGTTCTCCTCAGTCAACTTTATGTGGTGTGCTTGGGTCTAAACAGGGGTTACAGAGTGAGAGCCCAAATAGTCCTTTTCAGGTTTGTTCTCCGACGGAAGTTCAGGGGGTGAAGGGGACTGTGGATTTGCTGTATGCTGCTGTTGGTGAGGTTGCAAGAATGAAGAAAATGGAGGAAGAGGTTGGAATTTGGGCTCCTCCAAGGAAGCCAACTCCAGTCTATGTAGACCCTAAAATGTCTCAACCAAATCTTGGCTCATTTTACTCTAAACAGCCACCACTCTCTTACCAGCAGTTTAAAATGGCTCAAGTAAGCTTCAATTCTGTTTAGCCCTTCACTTTTCTTGTTTTGTTCTTCAAAATTTATTGATTTTTTACATCTGTGGAAGTGCAGTTTCAGCGTTTGAAGCAACAACAGTTAATGAAGCAAAGGCAAGTTGTATTGGGTCCTGAAAAAGAAGGATTTTGGCAGTACCAACTGAGGCAGAATCACCACAATCAGAGTATACAGGGAAGAGACAGAAATGGAGCTGAGAGGCCTGTGAACATGGCAATGTCTGGTGCTTGGCCTGCTCTACAACAATCTCACCACCACCACCACCACCAGAAACAGCCACCACCACCGCCGCCTGTCTCCGGCATGCGTGCTGTTATCCTTGGAAATGCTGCACCCAAAAGAGAATGTGCTGGAACAGGGGTGTTCATTCCCAGAAGAGTTGGAGCTCAAACTGAAACTCGCAAAAAACCAGGTATCCTTTTCGTTTTCTTCTCCCCTGTTTCTATGAACTTGAATTTCAAATTTGCTTTACAAAATCCATATGTATAATTAGTCTGTTTTTGCAGTGATTTTTTCCATTGGGTTGTTCTTGTTTTCCGTTACATTTTATTAATTCTACTTTCTTGAAACTGATTAGTGTGAATGTTAGACTGGAATTTTGGACTTTTGCTCTGTTTTTAGTGAAATATGAAAAGATTATTTTGGCTCTGTTCTCATTATCTCATGTTATTATTTATTAACTTCTTCATAATTATCTTCTGTGGTGTTTATGTGTTTTGTCAATTTACCAGGTTGCTCCACAGTTCTTCTGCCAGACAGAGTGGTCCAAGCTCTGAATTTGCAGCCTCAGGTTCAACCCAGATGTAATAATGGTAAAACAAATAACAGTTTTAAAATTCAAGATCCATTTGTTTGTTAGTCATCGCAGATTTATTAAAAATCATTTTTTTTCCTTGTATAGGTGGTGGGGTTATGAAGTATCGGAATATGGGAGAACAACAATGGCGAAATTTAAGAAGTCAGGCAGCAGTAGAAGCCATATCTCAAGAACATCAACTTCCTCAGGAGTGGACTTACTAAAAATCTACTGACTCAGAAGAAAACTTGTGTTTAGTTTTTGGTAGTGAAGATTTCAGATTTGTTTGTTTAGTTGAAAAAAGGAATGGGTTTTTGGGGTTAGTAATTTTAGGGTTATATGATAAACTAATTTCATAGTAAGGTAAGATGAAGAAGAAGAAGGAGGGGGTAGTAGAAGACAAGGCTCTAGATTCAAGAAGAAGAAAAAGTAGATTTTTAGGTACTCTTTTGTTTTGGATTAAGATTAGATTATACTTAAGTATATGACAAAAATAAACTTGTTTAGTCAATCAAGAAATGGGGGAGAAAGTTGACTGTGTCTTGTTTTGGTTGTGGGATACTTGAAATACAGTCTAATTTTCTCTTTTTTTGGTTTAATCAGCAAATGTAATGGGAATCATCTATCAATAAGTATACCATTTGGACTTGTGTTTTAATGTCCAGTTGCCTCTTTTATGTTTTTTTCCCCCCATTATTATATATTATGAATGTATATTCATTTTTGCTTATTGTAAATATAATTGAGATTAAAATTGTGGGAGTTGGACATTAGGTTAAAAAATGTGGTGGAATGGTAAGTATTCTTTAAAAAATGTGGTGAAATGATAAATATTTTTTCATTCTGAGGTTTTGATTATAGAGTTAATTTTGTCCGTGAGTCTTTTTAAAGTGAATATAGATTTAGTTGATACCAAACAAGATAAATATAAAAAGAAATATCAAAGTATTTTTTCATCCTGCTGATTATTTATCATTCGAGCAAATCTCTTCGGATAACGAGAGTCCAATAGCACAAAAGGGTGAGTGTGCAAACTCTACATTGAATATTGTGAAAGTGTATTGAATCACTTTAGTTCCTTATGGAAAGAAAAAAGTGCCCAATATAGGGCTGGCTTTATTCACACTCTTCTTATCTCTTTCCCCTTTTAAATTTTTGTCCTTTGATGAGTATTTGTAATGTTATGGTCAAAGATATTAGGGACCCAAACATGCCCTAGAGATCTTCTCTTTCACATCTCATCCGAATAAAAAAGATTTCAAATTCAAATCACAATAGTATCACACATATTTCATTTCTAAAAACAAGATTTTTCGGCGCGACTCTAAATTAAATAAATAGACTTAATGAGGGTAGTACATGAAACCCTCCATTTGGTTCTTGGTTTAATTAATTAAAAAAAAAAGAAGAAGCTTAGCTGTTATTTTGGATAAATATAAAATTGTGAAAAGAGTACTTATATGTGAAACACTAAATAGCGGTCACTTATAGAGAAATGTGTAAACATTATAATGCTTCGTAGAATGTTGCCCATATAGGACGGATGTGCAAAGTGTAAACAAGACTCTTTGGTATTCAAGATGCTCCATACTTGACTTTTCCTTTTTCCAATGTTTCATGTTTTTAAAATTTTGAAAAAAATACACTTTCTTCCGCTTCAATTTTATCTAACGTTAGTTCAATTTGATACAGAGTTAAAACAAAATCGAAAAACCTTTAAAATTTCAATCATTCTAACACATATATTTTGTTAATAAACATATATATATATATGTAATTTATTTTGAAACAGACTAAAGAAAAATGTGTTAGATAAATTGAACCAGTTGAATGAGTCTCTTAATTCATATAATTTTTGTTTTTATTATTCAATATAAAACATATGATAGTACTTATAATTTACCATTTTATATTTATTTTATTCTCTTATTACAAAATATTAATTACTTCAATTAAATTTTATTTTCATTAATTTTTTTAAGGAGTGTATCAAATTATACGCGAAAAAATTAATTTTTTATAACTGAACTTCAGGTTCATCAAAATTTCATTTACGAAACATTACAGAAAGGGTAAAAATATTTTAATGTTTACATTGCATACGTGAAATTTTCTCAAACTTCTAAATGAAAGTTCCGACTCCACCAGCGATCCATCACACTTTAATTACCAACTCAGATGGTAATTCAATGCTCATTTCTTGATCAGTATGAAATTGATAAACCTTACAAACAAATCTCCCTGCTGCATGACCAACAACAGCCACCAAGAAAAACCTAAAATCTGTAGTAACAATAAACACAACAACCAAATAAGTCATAAAAATTCTAAGTCCATAAAATCCAGATTCTTGTAACAACATTTTAAGACTTCTCTGTTGTTTCTTAGTACTCAAACTGTACATAGAACAAAATTCAGACATAAATGCCATCAAGAAAATCAAACAAACAGGAAACAAACAACCCCCTTTAGTCATTTCACAATCAGACCATCCTGGAAATTGTGTTTTTGTGTAAGAAATCCAGTAACTTGAACTTAATGATGATTGTGATTTGGTTGAACTTGCATTAGTAATGAAATAACTTCGCGATATCGAAGAATAATTGGTTGAAAACATAACTGTGTTTCTAAAATATGTTGTTATGGGAACTTAATTAGAACTAAGGTGAATTATAAATAGCAAGAAAGTAATGAAGTTGAGTAGTAATTTGGAAGCATAATTGGCTATGATTGTTAATACAATCATGAAGAGTAACTTGTACTTCTATAATATCATATACTAATTAAAGAGCTAATTGTCATCACTCCATTTTTCTATTATGAGTTTATCTTGCAAGGATGGAAACATAATTGGCAATGATAGTCATCACAATCATGAATGTTTATGTACTTTTATCTTGAAAAGTATAGCTCTTAGAAGGAGCTCTAATATACTATGTTGTTCGAGCTCTTAAAAAAAAATACTATTTTACATGTCATGTGTTGGACGGATCTTTCAAGATGTCTAATATACATTAATGTTGCTCGAACTCGTAAAAAGTACCATCTTAGTTCTAAGATATATCATATATGTCAGATCCTTCAAAATATTCACCAAGATTGACAACATTTTGAGGATCCAAGCAACATAGTTGGTATGTATTAGTTTCCATTTGTAAATCGATTTTTTTGTTTCTCATCCGATTTAAATTTACCCGAAAAGTCTTATATTTTTCCGCTTAATTTGAATTTGCATCGAAAAGTCTTATATTGGGGAGTAAATCGCTTTTTAACAAAAATAACTATATGTACAAAATAACTGAAACCTGAAACATTTAATTAAAGATGAATGAATACTTACCCCTCTATCACAACCTGGTCGATGCAAAGGGGTGATTTACTATCACTAGGTAAGAAAGATTGTTTTCACAATGGGTGTTGTTTGGTATATGTTTATTAATCATTCTCAAATCTATTCTATCTTCAAGACCATTGCCCAAACCTCAATGATTACCAAATTGAAGTATAAATCCTACAAAAATATGTCATTTTTATTAAGAATTCGATAATATTTATTGAAATAGAAAAAAATGTGCACTCAATCATGCAAAACCAATCAAGAAACTCGAAAAAGAAAAAGAGAGTGGACTCCAAATAAACCCGACCTGATTATCTAATCCATATCTTTTTTGAAAATTGGGCTTCCAAAAACCACATAACCAACCGCATGGCCCAAAATTGCAGCAATAAAAACTCCACCATTATAAGACATAACAGCAAGCATAACCATATAAGCAAACCCGGCTCGAACCGCTTGTATTCCGGCTTGAAAGAAAACCGCTGCAGCCCGGTTCGAACCGGGTTTAACCAACTTCAAATTTGAGAAAAACTCAACAAGAATAGCCAAAAAAAAGACAAAAATCAAACCCAAACCATACATTCCTTTGCTATTTCCAGGCCAATTTGGGAAAAGAAAACAAGTGTTTCTTCCCCAATAGAATGACAAGTGAATAAGATGATGAGATTTTGGATGAATTTGAGTTGTTTCATTTGAGTTAGCCCAAGCCATCATTGGCAATGATGGGTTCATTTGATTAAAACCCGGTTCAAGTTAGAGAACCACATTAATGGGGGGATTTAAAAAGAGTAAAAATGAAATGGAGAAGAGGAGACAAAGTGCATATTATTTGTCCTTTTACACGTCCTCTTTCTTCTTTTTTCCCTTTAGTTCACATGGCGTGGAATTGTTTGGTAGAGTATAATAATAATAATAATATGTATATTAGCTTCGTGTATTACTAATATTATTCTGATACATTTTGTTTACCTTACTAATGCATTATATTTAATATTATTTTATACACTTTATCAAAGAATCAGAGTCCAAAAGAATATAAGAATAATGTATTTATTAGTTTTATTGAGTTATTTTTTTAGTGTAGTGTTTAGTTTGATATAATAAAAATGCATTGTGTAACTTCTATAAAAATGAGAGTTATGTTATTAATTAATCTATACTTGTGTTGAAATAGTATGTATTGTTAATATATGAAAATATAAAATATTAGTAATACTTGTTTTAACACACAATAGAGTATATAGTAATAGTAAAATTATTCATCAACTTAAAAAATATACTCAAAGAAAATACTAATAATACATTAAATTAATGTGTACACTATTTTTTGTTAATTCACTCTAACAAAGATGCTTAAAAGAGTGTCATGCTAGTACCCTATTATAATACAAATATTAGCTAACCATCCCACCTTTGGATATAAACATTTAGACACTAATAAATATTTTTCCCATAAGAAATAATTACTTTTATGTTGTTTACATTTGAATATTTTTGGGCGTGTGAATAACATACAATAAGAATGCATTTTCCTTTTAAAAAAAGAATCGAATGTGCAATTACTTGTTTTGAAGCAATCCTATTTCACTACTTACACTTTCGGTCTGACAGTTGGTTTTTCTTTTTTTCAATATTAGCAATAACAATAATTAAAATTTAATTTTATCAATATAGGTCGTGGTGCGTATCCGGTTGTCTAAATTCCTCTCTGGTACATCCATATCACACTTTGATACATATCTTATCTCTCGGATACATCCCTCCCTATGTATGCGAATGTTTGCTTATGTATTCGAATTTTATAAATTTTAAGAAGTTTTTTTAATTTGAAAAAGAATAGAAAAATAATGTAATTAACTTTATAAGATTTATGTAAATTATACAAAAGAAAAATAAATAAATGAGTTGGGCCTTACTGAGGAGAATTTGGGAACTTGGTAATTAACCCGCCACATGGGCCAAACTAACCTATGGGCTTTGGATTACAATCTCAACCCATACGTGCAAAGAAAATGGGCCAAGTCTGGATCAGGTGGAGCAAACCGATAAATTCAAAAATTACACGTTTCATATCACTCACCTAAAATTTTATTTACATACTCAAATTATAACATGCATTAACACCTTGAATTTATCGTCATGTCATAAAGATTGAAACAAAAAATAATCAAGTGTTTGGTACTCATATTAAAGACGACTCAGACCAGAAAATCAACTTTTTCCTAAAAAAGTTTACTCCGTACCTATAATTTGATGTTTCATTTATCACTTAGGAGTGAATTGCTTCCTTTTGTTACAGCATGTGCCTTTGAAAGAACCCAACAATTTTGTTTCCATCAAAGTCTTCTTTACACACACAAAAAAAAGTACTTTTTCTCCTTATTATTATGTGACAAATGAAGTACTTTTTTTTTTGGCAAATTGTAGACTTATAATTGGGTCCATATATCTTAATAATAGAGAAATAAATACTTTTTTTGCTATAGCAAGTCAAACAGATATAGCTATGCTAAACCCCATAAGGGGAGGGGGGGGGGGTCTCGGTGTGGTATGAGTTGAATTGCGATCAAATATAAAGCTTGTTTGATAGACTTTGTTAAAAAATAAATTTATGTGCTTAATATTAGCTATAATTTTTTATATTATGATAAAAGTTTGGTCCCGATAGATATATTTTCATTGAACTTTCAAATTTCAAAATAAAGTGGCCATAACGAAGAGCATATAGTAGAGTTTTGAGACTTCGTTGATGCATCATCAAATTATATTTATAATATATTTAAATAAATATATGAAAATAAAACTAAACAATATTAATTTATTAAACCTATCAACAAATAATTAATTTATTTTTGAGCTACTTTTTAGGCCCAATCCAATTGCCCCCAATAAGTGGAAGATAGGACCATAAATTAGTTATGGAAAAATTACATAAATTAATACAATTTAAATTAAAAAATAATTACTCATTTTAGCGATACTTTTTGTTTATTACCATTTATATCAAAGCTTTGTTAAATCTGTAATATGTATTAAAAGTGAATTATGTATGCAATATATATGAATTATAATTGTTTTTTGAAATATATCATGTTTGTTTGGTAAAAAGTTGTCACGTTATATTATAAGTATATTAAAATGTGTGATAAATGTATTATTCATCATTAAAATTTGTATTATATGTGAATAATAAATTGTTCTTTGTAATATGTATTAAACTTGTATTATAAATGAATTAAAAGTGATCAAGTGAAAAAAAATTATTGCTATAAATGGTAAATATTTTTTTATTATAGTATATTTATGTAAGTTTCCCAATAGTTATTGATGCATGTGTGTTCCTGCTTGCTAGGAGTCTCTAATGCAACTACTCTTTCTTATTATTTTATTTTCGAATTGAATATTCATAATTAAAATTGAAATATATGAATATTATACATTCATACAAAATCAATACCACTTAATTTTGGGAACCTATTGAAATTATATATTCATAGTGCGTAAAAATTTATAAGTTTATTCATTTTGAAACAATCTCACTTTTAGATATATATTTGAAATTTCACTTTGATATATTTGACTGAAGTTCAACTATTTTTATTTGAACTTCAGTCATATATAGTTGAATTAGTCTTTTTCTTATAATTTAAAACACAATATATCTGAAGTTATGTCAGAAGTATAAACAAATAAATATAAATTAAAAAATAATATTCAAATAATATATCACATAAAATATTTACCAACTAGTACCTGCACTGAAATTTTGCAATATTACCAAATTTTGCCTTTTGTGCCCTATAAAGTATGATAAAGAATTGAGGTTAACCTACTAATATTCAAAGAAAAAATATACTAAATAGCTACAAGATTATGAGAATATTTGTAAGAATGGACCACAATTAATCCTTTAATCCATTAGCCCATTGGTCTAAAATGGTTCTTTCACTAATCCAATTCAATGAACGTTCCTAATTAGTTGTTCATTTTTGAATTTACATATTTATTAGGAAAATGATTATTGACATAATGAATTTATCATTTTATTTTTATTAATTATGAAGTAGATTAATTAAAAATTTAAAATTTTAAAAAAGTTTTAAATTTTTCGAAGAAATTAACCGAGGATACAATAAATTTAAAATATGTATTTTCTTGATTTATTATAATCGATTTATAATTAAGAACAACTATAAAAGAAAAATGAACGAACTATTATGAACAGACGGAGTAATACTTGAAACAACGTTTGGACATAAAAATAGTAAAATTTGAAGAACAAAAAGTGTTAATTCCTTTTTAAAAAAGTTGACACTACTATTTATAAAATAAAGTTGTATTTGAACATGAATATTTGTCAGTTATATTTAGATTCCTGTGAGTGAAAATTGTGTAATAATTTTTTAGAGTTTTTTTTAAAATATTTATTATGATAAAAGATTAAAAGATAATGGAGTGTTGTTTTATTTTTTAAAAATTTAAAATTGTTGATATTTGTTATACTACTAATTGTAATCTTATAGTAGTTTTTATATCTATCACCATATGTTATTTATCACATGTAATTATTCTATTTTTATAGTTTTTACGAAACTTTTTTCTTTTTTATCCAAATTTATTATAGTTAATCGAGAGTCTTTTAACAATATTTCATCGTCCAAATAATAATGCATTCCCAAAAAAGGAAAGAAATAATTCTTTACGTAGACCCCATTTGTGTTCAGTTTTCTGTATGAATGAATGAGTTGTTTTCGTACTTGCCTAGCTACCGGTTGTGTAGAATTTATAGATAGATTTCCCAAAAGATTTTGCTATTTTTTTGTTTTAAATTTTTAAAACTTTAAATCTCAAAAATAGCAAAAGTATAATCTATGGAGTCCGTTTTGATTTGAATTTACGTTATGATGAGTTAGTTATGATAGAATAAGTTACGATCGAATTAGTTAGGATGAAATAAGTTATACTAAAATTATTTTATATTGAGTGTTTGATTGATTATAATGGTCTATCTGATATCTAATAATTATATGTAAATTTGATTTGATTTATTAAATTTTATTTAAATAATATATTCATGTTAATAAATTCATTATCTATATTTAGCTTTTGTCATCTTTTGTGGTGTTAATTAGGTGAGATATCTCAAAGTTTTGCTTACTTAGATCTTCTTTGTCATCATTTGGCCTATGTCATCTCTTTTTTAGTGTTATTAATTACTCAATCGAATATAATATCAACTATCCTTAAATGTATTTATAAAATTGTATTTGAATATTTAAATTATAAATGATCTAAATCAAACATTTGATATAATATAAATATTTTTATTAAATGCTTTACTGTGATTAAATACTTATAAGCTAAATAAGTTAACCAATAAAATGTGCCACTTGCTTTAATTATATACATCAATCTTAATTAGATTGTCATGCCATTTTTCATTTTGCTTAGATTAATGTGTATCACTAAGTGAGGTAACAAACTTTAATGAGCCGTAAGTGAAATAAAAATAATAATCTTTTGCTATTAACTTTATGTATATATATGATTTGAGGTATTAACTAATTTCAAAAGTATTTTATTTTCTCTGTTTCAAAAAGTGATTTATTTTGATTTGAATTTAAAAAAAGTTTTTTTTTTTAATTTTGTGATTTTAAATTAAAGTTATATCAAATATATCAAAATGTCCTTTAATTTTGTGGTGTTAAATATGTTATGTACAAAATTAAAATTAAAATTTTACCAAAAAAGAAAAAAATTAACACAATAAAAAATTTAAAAACAGAAAGAGTATCATATTATTTTCACCAAAATAAAGCCATTACGATAAAAGGTGATGTCAAAACTATTCCATTATATATTCTTATTTATTTCAGCTCACATAACAAACGATTCACGAGTTATTATCCTATTCACATACTCTTTCCAAAATTTTGAAGCAAAAAGTATCTATAAAAATATATTATCATAAGTTCAAGTCAACTATCAAAACATATTATATTTCGAGTATTAAAATAAAAATTACTAATAAACTTGAAATTTGACATGTTCACCTTATTCTGTCGTCATGACTATGCGATGTTAATTAATCAATAATTTTTTAAAAAAAGATAATAATATATTACAATTTTATATCAAAAATAAATCATAAATCTATATAACTGCATTAATTTTCAATATATTACATACTTCTTTTACTTGGTAATCATAACTTCTAAAAAGTTAAAAAGAATTTAATACTTCTAAGGAAGAAGTTTAATCTAAATTTAATTAGATTCTAATTTAATTTAAACTCTAATAATTTTGAAGAATCAATAATTTCGTCGTGTTTTAAGCGATTTTGATATTAGCACCTTTCTCTCAAAAGCTGTGTAAAGCAAAAAAATCCACCGTTTTTCTGAACTGTCGCTCCGTGTTCAACTCCTTGGCAGACACACCAAAATGGAGAGAGAAACTTAGAGAGAGAAACATAATTTCAAAGTAGCAATTACCATTTCACGCACAAAAAGGAAAATCAATCTGCAGGAAAATTTTTACAGGAAAAAAAAATTATTCCTGCTAGACTGATTTTCCTTCAACTTCATTGCCTGTTGAATTTTTTTTTTGTTTTCTCAAAATTTGGGGAATTGCGTTGTTTTCAAAAAATTGGAATTTTTGGGTTTTTAGGATGAAGGATTTTGATATTCAAAGTTGGTTTATTATGATGTAAATACGATTTTTTTTTTAAAAAAATGTCGTTTTATATTGGTCGTGAGGCTCCAAAGGTTGTTTCTTTTTCTCATGAAATTTTGTGTTTTATGTTGTGCTTTTGTTTATTAAATTGTGATAATGATGGTTGTTGTTGTTGTTAATGGAGAGTAGCTGTGGAGGAGAATTTGTGCAGAGGCAACAATAGAGATTAATCTTCTTGCTGAAAATTGGAAATATATTCTTGGTGGTTTAATATTTCAGGTTTCTATTTTGTTCTTCTTTTTTATCAACTTTTGTTGCATAGAATGAGAAGTTATTCAGATTTGCCATAACTGAAAGCACGTTGGAGTAAGGCAAAAGGATATATTTTGCTAATTGGGAGTGTGTTTTTTTCCTCTTTTGGCGTAATATATAAACGTCCTCTTTTAACTTGGTCTCATCTGACATATATGCTTCCAATGAATTGAACAAGTACACTACGTGGCAATTCACGTCCTATACTATGTGTAATACGCATAAGATGTGTGTATCTACTAGTTTAACTTAATGTATAAGTTTGAGTCTGCACACCCGAAGTTGGAGCGTGTAGATGCCAACTGATGCTAAGTTAAATGATATATTTATGTATTATGCCTTTTCGTTTAGATGAAAGTTTGTTAGTAGATTGTCTAATGATCTTACCGGGGTGCCTGGTTGGCCTAATGCAGGAAATAGTATTTTCTGATTAATTGATGTGGTTGTAACTTTGCGGAGAGTTAACGTCTGCCTTTTTGGATTAAGAATATCCATCTATAATGGTGTATATTAGCTTATAAATTAAGATGACTACGATTTTTCCTGTTTTCTTTCTGCTAAGGTATAGCTTATCAAGTATTGACTCGTGTAAGTAGCAAAATATCACTGTTCAAGTTACGAGCGAGGAGAGATTGAGAGACATCAAATTTTGCTTTCTTTTTCATTTCGTGTAACAATTTGTGGTTTTACATTTCTTACCTACACATTTTGCTGCCATGGAAAAGTGTCGTTGACTACTGTATGATGTATCACCAAGTTGTGCATGAAGCCATTAGGCCGACGACATGTTTGCTTGGGCGTCACACATTGTAGGGAGAAAGACGTTCTAAAATTGAGTTTCTACTTTTGATCATTGTAAATTTAGATACATGAGTTAGAGTTACGGAGTTTATCTGTCTCCTTTCTTCAGTACATCCATGGACTTGGTGCTCGTGGGGTTCATTACTTACATCGACCTGGACCAACTCTTCAGGACGCTGGCTACTTTCTTCTTCCGGTTAGACTTATTGATTGTTTTTCTATATCTGTCCGCTATCTTGGAAGAGGTGTATTCTTATTTTTTTTCCTTCTTCTTTCCTTGTAAACTTCCAGGAGCTTGGGTCAGACAATGCTTATATTAGCGAAACTGTATTCACTACCATTTTTCTATCTTTCGTCTTGGTGAGTTGGTTTCAGATAAATTTTTCCATCACTAGTTAACACTGAGTCTCTTTGTTCCCTCTTTTTGTTAGTTATAAACTTTTTACAAGTACTTGAATATGTTCAAGGTAAACTGTGAGCCCAAGCTGACTTCGGTTTAAAAAAAATAGGGAGAGCATGGACATAAGACTCTAGAAAGTATTGCGTGGTACCACAATGACTTTCATAATCCGCACCTGGCTATTATCTTGTCTTAACGTTTATAGTTTATTTATTTACCTATGAAGTGAATTTTTGTGTGTTATTGATCTAATTGTTACTCATCTTTTACGGCAGTGGACATTCCATCCTTTCATTTTCAAGACCAAAAAGATCTATACGGTTCTGATGTGGTGCAGGGTCCTGGCATTCTTAGTTGTAAGTGCCCTTTTTCTTATAATTCACCTTCCTTTTGTTTCGTAAGTCAATTTTCAATTGAGAGTAGTTTCTTTCATCATTACTATATATATGGTTTATGTTGGGCAAAAGATGACTTTCTGCTCTCTTCCGATAAAATACATATGTTTGTTCGTTGCTTCCAACATTTAGAGTGAACCTCGACTTATGTATTCTATCTTCTAATTTGTTAAATAATTGTTTGGTACAGGCTTGTCAATTTCTTCGGATGATAACATTTTATTCTACACAGCTTCCTGGTCCAAATTATCACTGCCGTGAGGTAGAAACCGGCCCAATTGATGATTTATTGGTTTGCATTTGGTTAGAGGTGTCTATGCGTTGTGCATCACCTTATTTTTTTATTCTGCGATTTCCAGGGTTCAAAGCTTGCCACACTTCCTCGGCCTGATAGCGTTTTAGAAGTTCTACTACTTAATTGTAAGTTGCATTCACGTTTACATCTATAGCATTTTGGATCTTTGGTTTGTTTATCTTTGTTGCTTAAATGATCTTTATGGCAGTTCCTCGGGGCTTACTTTATGGTTGTGGTGATTTGATATTTTCATCGCATATGATATTCTCCCTAGTCTTTGTGCGGACATATCAGAAATACGGCACACGAAGGTAATATAATGGCTTTGATATTACTATGTTGTTCTTTTATGAGTAGGAGTTAGGATTGATGTCCAAATTTAGCTTTACAACTGGTGAGTGCGATTGTGCAAGTGATATTATCGATGATGTTGGGGATGAAGCTTGATTTCAGTTGTACTAGACAATGTAGCTCGGACTTTTCAAAAAATATTGACGGGTGTGTGTTGGATCCTCCAAGATTAGTGCATTTTTGGAGGATTCGATACGGGTATGGAATCAACGGATCAGTCCCAACTCCTGAACATAATATCACTAATCTTTTTAATCAAATTGATTCTGCAGGTTTATAAAGCAATGTGCTTGGATAGCTGTTATTGCTCAGAGCTTTTTAATTGTTGCATCACGTAAACATTACACTGTAGACGTTGTTGTGGCATGGTGAGTCTGTTTTTTTGGCTTGAGGTGCTGTCTTGCATAATTTTCGCAGATGACTAACTTATTTGCCCCATACTGTTTTCCTACAGGTACACTGTTAATCTAGTAGTGTTCTTCGTTGACAAAAAATTATCAGGTTAGGCATGTAGCTTTAAACTTCCCTTCGAACGATTCTTTTATCTGGTGAGGAAGAGCTAAAGTATGAGCTATACTCTGTAGAGCTGCCTGACCGTAGTAGTGCAGCCTCATTGCTTCCAGTAAGCAAGGATAGCAAGACTAAAGAAGAGAATCACAAACTTTTGAACGGAAACACAGATCCTGAAGATTGGGTATGGAGATTTACCGTTTTCTTTATCATTAGACATCATCTGTAGCTAATGAAATTGCTTTCTTCATTGTTTATAGAGGCCTAGAACACAAATCAACGGGATGATCATGGAAGATGGTAACGCAGTCCACGTTGAAGCAGCAGTGAATGGTGTATATAGACAGTAAAATACATAGAGCGCAACTACCTGAACCTGGTTGAGGCACTACTGTTCAATGTCACTGAAGTCGGCGTTCCACAACTCATTCGTGGTACTCTTCCAGGTCCCAATAGTTTTGGTCTGTAGTGTAGGATACGAAATCTAGATGATCTGCTATGAATGCCTCTAATCGTCCCTAACCTTAACTTTCGTGGCTTCAATGTATCATGGAACTCAATTTTTCTTCCGATAATGCAATTATTTTCTAGTTGTGCTCACCAAAATCTTAGTACATGTGTTCATTTCTTTAAAGGCCGAAGAGAAATGTGAAATATGTAAAGATGTCCGTTGTTATAAGCATTCATGATGAATTTACAAGTTTTGCGCTAGTCCTTTGAGACTGAGGCGTAGTTATTGTTATGGTTGTTAGCAAGTTTTACACATCAAGAACCACTATGTATTCATAAAAAGTAAAGTTCTTTATGTATGGCCCCATTTACATGTTTGCTGCAGATAAAAACAGAGATTGCACCTAAATAGCCTCTTCCTTCATTTGGGGTATTTTTGTCATTTAATCATGGGATAATACTCGGTGAATAAAAAAAACATCTCAATATTTCAGTAAGAATCTACCATATGTTTTTTCGATAAAAACTGTATAGAGAAGTATTTTATAATATTGAATCGCGATAGAAAAAATCTTATAAGTTGTAGTGGGTGATAGATAGCCTGTCAACAGCTAGTTATGCAACTATTGTTGATAACATTTGACAGACAACATGTTTGTGAGTGAGATTTTGAGTATAAATATTGTCATAATTAGGGTATGTTTGTCTGTCTAACAATCACTATTCTTACTGTTATTAAAGTCTACATACACTGTTATTGAAGGGGTCCTCTTGACACCTTTGTGGTGCTACACATTATAAACATAATGGACCTACTTGTTTCTTTAAGTGATGTTGATCATTCATTCATTTGGTCCCAATTCAGTCGTTTGGTTCGAGGGATAAAAAGATTACGTGTAATTTCAGAATACAATTTAGGTTATTAACGTATAATTCTACGTTTTTTGATAGGATTTTTTATTTTGATTTGATTATGACTTCATGTTGGATAACAATCTTGGTTAGTTAAACATGCATTTGCCTTCTCCAAACCTTTTCTTCTAAGGTCCTTTTAAGATATTTAGACAAGTTTAACATTGAAATATATGATAATCGCGATTTATGATCTAGTTTAAACCAAAATATATGTTTTACTATAATATATACCTTGTATATTTTTTTTTTGTTTGATAAATCAAAGATATGTCAATAAGAATGTATATATCATAATAATTGTAGTATATAATTATTAGTTTCGACATTATTAAATTATTTATCAATAAAACAACTTTTTGTAAATGACGAGTCAATATCGACATAAAAAATAAAAGACAATTCATTGTTTTAAGCTCCTATTTATGCCTGAGATTCAAGAAACAAGACTGAGTTTATTATATGCAATTGTCTTACTTTTTTTATTATTATTATAAGAGACTATTTTTGCAACGTAAACATGTGACATATTAATTACATAATTGCCCCGTCTCTCCTTCAATCAAATTCAATTTTTGCATAATTTGATGTAAATTAAAAAGGGATATAGAGATCGTAGTGCGATTCAAATTTAATCAAGATTTTTGAATATCAATTGAAATTTCTCAAATAACTTTTTTTCTAACATTTGAAAGAGTCTAATCAATTATTAGAATTACTATTAACCCAATATTCAGTGATGCAGACATCTTTTAATCAATTATTTCAAAAATAATCCATTGGATTTGCCAGCTCCAATCTTAACATTTTCCTCATATATTTACTGACTAGGTCAAGTCACTATTTATTTTTCTTAAAAAAAAATTAGGTATTTTTTGAATTCAAGATTCATAATGGAATAAAAATAATAATTTTCTTTTAATATGTAGTGGAAGCTATGAAGTTATCCATTGGCTAAATTGAATAAAATAATGAAAATGACTTGACTTGACATGGTCTAAAACTTTAGTTCATAAAAAATAATATTGACCATATTCTAATTGGTTATATTTCACCTAGAATTGCATGAACATTTCATGTGTCTAAATCAATTCCATTGGCTTTTATTATCCTTTGGAAGCTACTTTTATTGGATTAACCCCTAAATTGTAACACTTTTTGATTTGATGTTTAGATATGAGATATGGAATTATTATTTTAAATTAAAATTTAATTATATAATTTGAGATTATGATTTATAAAATATCATGAAAATATATAATTTATTAATGTGACTATTTAAACATTTTTAATTATATATTTAAATAAACTTTAACTTCAAATCAATCTGATTCATAATATATTGTACTAAGTTTATTGAAATTTACATAGAAAAATTTCATTTTGTAAAATAAAAAGCGCAGTTTAATATGAGATCTCAAGTTTTGAATTGATATGAGATCTCAAGTTTTGAATGTGTTGATAATTTTTTTTGTTATTTTGAATGCAAAATGAATATTTTAATTATCAAATATTAGAAGTATTCTTTTGAGTTTTAGTTAAAACTATTTAGATTTATTCCATAAAAGTATATTTGCTTAAAATGTTTATATTCAATCAATAAATATAAGTTATGTATATTTTTATACACACATTTATTACTAAATCATAGTCTAGGTGAGATTATTCACCTTGAGACTCAATCCTAGGCTATAGAATTTTAATAGTAATGAATTAAGAATTTAAAGATCACCAAGGACATTCCCCTTTCTATTTAAATAGATTAATAGGACAACATTATGTTAAGATGCAGTAGATGTACTTTAAAATGCCTCAATTAGTTTAGAATTGATATACGATTCAAATATATTGATTGTTAATTAAAAAGTTTACCTCGTTC